GGGTAGCTTATGTAGATATTCTTTCATAGACATTCAGTCCAAATAGTCTCAATATATTCTTGGTTAGACGTACACACTTGACCTATCACACGAGGTTTATCTTACATAAACTCTCCATGATTTTATTTAAACAATTTTGTCTGCCTAGTTTTCGTCTTATTTTCTCATTTTTCGATCTCTCCTCTTCTCTGAATTAATCTGACAATTCAAGTAAGAGGGCTATTTGGGAAATGAAATCCTAAGACGATGATCAGACAGACTAGAGAGTCTGAATTTAAAAAGAATAAAAATAATTGCCTATAAATACAGGTGAAAATCCTTACTTAAGGCGCCACCTAAAACCATCATCGCAATCTTTCGCCAAGATTGCAAACAGGCACAATACAGTATTGAATGTAATTTTATATTTCTTTTATTTTATATACAAAAGGAAGGGAAAAGGGACTCTCTAGGGATCTTTGCTTTTCAAAACCTCAAAAAGGGACTCTCTCTCTCTCTCTCCTCTCTCTCTCTCTCACTGTGTCTAAGCTAATTCTTGGCCGCCCGGGACTTGAAAGCAAATAGAGAATGAGAAGCACAAGCTATAGTAACACATCCATCATCTTCTTCCACATATCTTCCTCTTAAAAATAGGATCTTTACTGGTTGTACAAACTCACGAACAATACAAGACCCTATATTCTAAAAGGATTCAAAAATAAGAATAAAACTAATTTCAAAATGGCTGGTTAAATTAAATTTCAATATAAATATTGAGAGATAAAATGGAACAGTAGCTTATGAGCAAGAAGAGCTCATAATTAAGGGAGCTAGGAGCTTAATTCAAAAAGCAAAATTCAGGAGTTTCATCCGTTAGAGGAAGGTTTCACTTTCTCTTGCACAGGATGTTTCCCATGCTTTCAATACTGAAATTAAAGCTTTACCATTTTGTAGGGAACATTTTTTTTCTTATAAATTTATTATGTATTGTTTCTTATAATCATATTAAAATCTTATGGTTTTACTTGCACATAAATTTGTTCACATTTTGAATCTCAACATGTGTAATGCTATGTGCTTAAAGTTCATGAAAATAAATCTACATGCATTTATTTCCTGTGGCTTTATATGCTCAATTAATGTAATTCATAAAACATTGTGATATTTGCATGGAAAAGAATGTTTATATGAGGGTAAACAATTCATTTACTTCATATTAAAAAGCTAGCCCCTAAATAATATCTCATTGATGTAACATCATTTAGGCTAAAATATTCACTTTAAAAAAATTAAGTATACATAGAGTGATATGTAACAATGTAAATTATAATAAAAGTCAAGTTGATTTTGTTTTACCGGCGCTTAAGCGTCGGATCTGGAGCTTAGGCGTCAAAACACTTTTTTTGCATCATTTTCACTTTTTTGCTCCAAATTTGATCCTTTTTCACTCATTTTAGCATTTTTCATCTTTTTACTTGTAACTTAAAGAAATACATACAAATGTCTTCCATTAAAGTGCAATATCTCAAAAAATAGGTATAAAAATGTGTCTAAAAACACTATATATTTTAGATATCTCAATTCTCATAAAAGAAATTATTTGTTAAGCTAAGTACATGTGTCTAAAACCACTATATATTTTAGGTGTATCAATTTTCATAAAAGAAATTATTTGTTAAGCTAAGTACATTTGAACTTGGTGAATGACTTTAAAAGTCATGTGTCGTGATTCATGGTGAGTTCACATGATCTTCTAGCATGCAGCCCAAATTGCATATTTAGTGTATATCATCCATTAAATTGTTTAATACCATGATATGAAGAATTAGCTTCGGATTCCATTTCATCATGCAGAGGTTAAAATGTATATATAGATATAATATGAAATTTATCATTATGATTATAGATCTATCATAGTAATTACAAATCTATCAATAAGATCAAGTTCTTACGTACTTGAGCCTATAGTTTTCTTGGGGACCCAATTATTCTTGCATGCTTTTACATTTATACTAAGTTGTTTTAGACATTTTGCATTTTTCTCTTCTTCACCACTAAATATATTATTCGTAGAGCTGTAATTGAGTTGAGTATGTCTTGAATTTGACATGATTTGGCTATTATAAGTTACCCATGTTCAGCTCCTATATTGGACTTGACTTGGTTATATTATAAGTTGCTCATATTCAGCTCAAGCTCAAATAGAGTTTTATATATATATTCATGTTTG